ACATTAGGTAAAAGATTAGTGTTAAGTCAGATGAATCTTCTTGTTTAGATTTATATTGACTGTTTCAAATACTTATTTTTTTCATCTCAAGATTACTTAACCATGATAATAGCATCTTGTGATGGTTATACTACCGGTATGTCTTGTTGGATGATAAAATCCTGGGTTTGATCTTAGTATAATCATCAGAGAACTACTTTTCTATTGCATGGAGTACTTCATTTCAGTGTAAAAATGTTTCCATTGTTTTGTTTGTTTGCAGAATTGTGAAGCAGATAAGTACATTTTATTAATACAGAGCTCCTATAAAATAATGATTAGATTCCATGGGTAATTTTGAAGTCTTAGCCAGCTATTCATACTGCTTAGCCTCTTTCCGGTGAAGATAATGAAAGAGTGTGGTGCTTGATACAATTTTAATGTGAATTTAAAATGGCATGAGGCCTGTTGATTACTGTTGGGGATATGCTTAGAGCACAGATGGGAATCGGCATGTTAGGAATTATTAAACAGAAATAAGCGTTGTGGTGCTTGGCCATTCTGTTTATTGTGAGTCTTTGCAGGATCAGGCTGATATATGTCTCTCTACCATTCAACTTTTCTTGCAAAGATAAGGCAAAATGTGCTTGCAAATAATTCAATTGGTTTAGTTGGTTGGGATGTCCAGTTTTTTCCTTAGATACCAATCCAAATCTTAATAGTAAACACCTGGAAATACTGCATCAAAGTGTAATTCTTCATTATAGTCATTGTAAAGTATAAACAGGAAATAAGACACTACATTCCTTTAGTAAAATGTGGTCAACCTTTGTATTGTGATTGTTTCACATTTATCTCACTCCCTGCTGACTTTACATACCCTGCAGAGTCTCCTGTCTGCCTTTTCCTGATATATTTCTACCAGCAGCAGTTTCAGCAAGGTGGTCTCAAGATACTAGTCGAATATGGGTTATCTCAGTTAAAAAAGTGCATTTAGTGTGCTGACAATTGTTACATACATAAAGTGGCTTTATTTCCTTCCAAGGATAAATAAATACATACAACAACACGTTTCAGAGAAGTCATCTTTTGTTACCATTGACAATGTTTTTATGCGGAGCTTTTTGTTGAAATGCTAAGGTGATATAAATAATTTCTAATTTGGCCTATGACATATTTCAAAGCCATTGTAGTTGATCATGTATGGACAAATTTTAATGAAAAGTTGTTCTCCCTCTGTTCAATAACAATCAACCTCTAGTTGCCGCTTCCTCTTTCTTCTTTTTGTTCTACTCTTTTTTTCTTACATCATATGACACAAATCAAGCTTGTAAAAGACATAAAATGACAGAAAATATAAGAATCCCTCTTATATTATCAACATATTTGTTAAGGGTAAAAAAACATCAGAGGAGATGATAAGCTAATCAATGTGCATAGCTGTTCTTCCTCGATATATGAGCTGGTATAGATAAAAATTGGTTAAACATGGAGTTCGTGGTGGAGGTTTAGGTTGTATGAAGGCAACACATGTACAGAGGCTGTCGTCCTCGTCGCGGCCGTTAAAGGTGAAAGTTAATTGGTTGCGCAAAAAATATGAGCTGAGTTTCCTCAGGAAATGCAGACCATTTGGAAGCTACCAGTAGCAGGACAAGCTTCCAAAGCAAATCAAGTTAAAAACTCTTTGACAACTTTTCGCATTCATAATCTTCCTCCGTCAGGTTTACCTGATCACTGACATGTGTTTCTTTCCTTCAGAGTTTCCTTCCTTAGACGCCCTAGCCGCAGCTACTCCGATCCGCCAGTTTTTAATAAACGTTTTTTTAAATAATCCCACTGTCTGTCTTGCCTATACTGAGTGCTCTGTTTTTAATCGTGACAGTGCTGGTTCTTCTGGGATTATGTGGCAGTATATTAAAGTACATATCGGATTTTCAAGGTTCTGATTTCCTTTTGAGCAAAGACCTCTTCTGACCTTTAATACCTAAAGAGCCTAAGGACTGTACAAAAAAAAGGTATTAATCAGTTAATTAAACTGCAATACATTATGCATTAAGAATGAGTGATATATTTAGGTACAGGAAAATGCTTCATAATTAGTTATTGTTAAAAAAGTGGCAAATATTTACTTTCACTTTTATTCTAATATAATGCTTTCTTCTTTTTTTTCTCCTTTTTTTTGCTTCTGTAGCATAGTGTCTTTTTCATACTTGCTATCTCATTAATAAAGCTGTGACTTTTTGCACAAAAACTCCATTGTACGCAAGTGCTGCTTTTTTCCGCACAAATGACAAGAAAAATACAAACTTTGAACCTCTAAAGTACTATATATACAAAAATGAAAAAAAAAGCACTGATATAAGTTTAGTGTCTGCTGTCTTTCAAACCAAAAATCTGCAGTCATCAGTTTAGGTGAACTACAAGTATGCATGTCAGAAAGAAACATACCGGTAATACCTGCTCTACTTTTTTGTAATCTAAATCTAAATAAAGAAGTAAAATGGCAGCAGTATTTAAACCAGCAGTTCCGCTACCATCATAACTCATGAGCCTAATCAATGGCCACTGTGCTCAAGGGCCACTGCAGTGTCATTAACAAATTGTTCCAGTGAAAAGTGGGGTTTTTTGTGTATGTGTGCAGGTAGTTAATGTTAATAATTATAATTAGCTGATGTGGCTCATCGAGCCTGTGGACACCTTGTAATAGCATTAGCCCCAATGAGCAGACTAATCATACGAGCTTTAAAATCTGAACAAGTGGCCCAGAGTCCCTCAAATTCAAGAACAATTCATTATAGGAACCCCAGGAGTCCCGGCTGGTGTATACTCTCCCCAACCATAAAAATGGAATGGAAAAGTGAGCTCTATTGGTCTGTTTTAGGCTTGTATCCTTCAGATTAAAATGTAGTCCTAAAATTGTATGAGATTGTATGGGAAACCTCCACCCTTGCTTCCTTGTATCATTACAGTATCGAAGGATTAAATGATTTTATATTGTGATACCATTCACACTTGATGGTTGTAGTTCAAAAATGTTATTTCAGTTCAACAGGCTTAATTTTAAAGAAAAACAAAGAGAAATAGATGAGGTTAAATTAAGTGTGACTATAGTTCCACAAAACTGCAGGGTAGAAAATGTTTCAGAGCTGGGTGATCTTGCTCTGGATGCTCATTGGGCCGCATGCCTGTGGGAAAAGGCTAAGATATGGTGTGGAGGATGGGTGGAGCTTTTCATGTTGCAGAAAGCCCCCTACCTGTATCTTGGTGTGTAGAGGTCCCAAGTGGAGGGAAGACTGCTCCATATGGTACTCGGTATAACGTAAGCACCTCTCTCCTCTACACAAAAGTTCCTCAGAACTGAGCTGATGGTCAAGCTATATGCTAATATGTCTAATATTTCTCTTTCTGTTTTTATGCAACCACAAAAATATGATAAAAGCTTAATGAACTACAAGCAATTCTCAACAGAATACAATCTTTAAGTCTCCTCATCTACTAAATAAATAAAATCCAACCCTAGCATATCCGGAATGTGAAAATACCAGGGAACAGGTCATAATAGTAAGATCTTATATTTGTGTTACGAGATAGGTGTCCTTAAGTGCAAATAATTTGGAAAATTTAAAATCAGTCAAAATAGTTTCCTTTAATTTTATTAACACTCCAATTTATCTTATTTGCCCACAGAAAATGTTTTCCGAAACATTTAAGAAATGAATCTCATGTTAATCCATCAAGCAGTTCTCATAACAACTAGGGAGATAGAAAGCACCATGCAAATAATTTTTTTGTCTATATTGCTTCTAAACTGCGCATTAGCATTTCATAAACTCAAATATAACTTTATAGTAGTAAACAGCAACTCCAGCCAAGACTGCTGCGTGGTCGGATCATAGCCTTCAGATGGAGAAAAGTGAGAGACTGCTGGGAGGGATTGTAGGGAGATGGTTTATAGTTGTCATATAAACCGTGCCGAAATGGTTGGACAACTGAGAGTTGAAGGTTTAAGGTTCTTCCGCGGGGTTTAGCTGTAAGTTGCTAATTTGCAGGGCCTGAAGGACAGCTGCGGCCTTCCACCCACTCTGTCACCAAGGGAGACACAAGATAGGATATCTTAACTTCATTTCTTAGTCACCCTGATTTCCTTTCGGGTAATTCTTTCACTTGTACCTGTCTTATCCAACCTTACCACCCACTGTTTCTGCCAAAGGGAATATGCATTTGCTTCTGGGTCTTCTTTTTCTTGACCCTAGTAACTCAGTAGAATACAAGTTCATTTGTTTGTATCCAACATCTCTTTCTATTGCTCTCAGAATCATCACAGATGGTCAGGATATTGATGAGGTATTACAATTATTTTTAAGTTTTTAAAGTTCTTCTTTTCCAGGATCTTTGATGATGGTTCTTGTTAGTTTTCTTGTTTTGTAATTTGACTACTTATCTAAAGGTGTTATCAAAGGGCTCCAGGCTTACAAAACTGGATAAAGGAGTGAAGAAGATAAAATAAGCTGTTGAAAGGAACTGTACTCTACTTCCCATATTAATTGCACAAATGAGCAGAAACCAAGAGCAAACAAAACCTCAAAGATTGTAGCTATCTCTGTCCCTTCTTACTCCATAATCTCCTCACTTTATCAAAGAAAGGAGAAGCAACAGTTGGTTATCATTGTGTAAATAAGTCTTTTGTCATTTCTGTGTCTCCTGTTGGCGACTGAAGAAACAAGAAGAGATAGAAATAAGTATTATGGCTTTTTTAGAAAAATATAAAATTTTTTAGTTCTTGATTTTAACAAAATAATCTCTCAGAGAGGCTCAGATACATCAGAGGAGCAGAGGATGTAGGGGGAGGGAAGCTGTTGCCATGGTGACCAAAGCCGCGGCAGTCGTCATCACGACTCTTCTTCTGCATCGTGCTTGCGTGACAGTGTGTGTGTGTCTGCGTGGATATGCATGTGTGACTTTACCCTCCTTTCTCCAAACAGGAGGTGAGGACATCCCCCTCTAACACTGCCAAGAGAGAAAGAGAGAGAGGGTAGAGAAGAGGAGAGACTGAGAGAGCGAAACCCATAATGCACTGCATGCTGCAGGGCTAAAGTCGTGCAGATTCATCAGTTCCTGTTTGAGGGGTTGTGTGCTTGTGTGGAAGCGTGCACACACCCATATGGCCAGGGCGAGCGCAGAAGAATCACACACAGAGAGGCAAGCAGGTAAGGAGACATTGCACCAACCGTGCAGACAGCTGACTGTTATACATAATAATCTTCTTTGCGTCTCTTCTTACATACTGAGAGTGGAGAGAGTGGCTCTGTACAGCTCTAAACCAATGTCAGAGTGTTATTAATGATTGACATGTTATGATTCTAACAACTTATTCGCCTGTTGCATGAGACAGATTTCTTTCTGTCTCACCGAAAAGCAATAATCCCAGGAAGAAGGGATAATATAAATATTTTTGCAAGAACTTGAAATTTCAGGGTCTTTCCCCCATCATTTTAGCTGCTTTTACTATGTTTTAGTTTTAATTTGTGCTTCATATACGGTTGAACGGTAGTCTTATTTGAATGCGCTGAGAAGGTTTTGCATGAGGAATAATGACAAGACCGGTTTAACACCTAGAATAACTTTTAGAAAAATGGTAAAGCATGTGGAGAAGGGAACAATGTTTGCATAGTTGATAGTGAAAATAAGTAGTTAACAGAGAAACTCAAAGGTATGGCTTTTTATAGAGTAAAGAAAATGTCTGACTTAGCTACAGTATACATTAGAATTTTTAGTTTATATCATTAATTATAAAGAGGATTGTTTGTATAATTTTAGAACAGAAGCTGGTTCCATTAAATTAAATCATATCCGAAAAATAGACATGTTCCCCTATTTTGAGAAGTATCCATATGAAGGCAGTGTGAGCTAATCTGTAAAAGCGCACCATCTCTTTAATGGGTCATTTTGTGGTTTTAACTGCCACTGAGGCTCGTGACGATATCAGCTGCACCAGAGACACAGACGGCTGGAAAGTGCCATTGAAGCAGCTTAGGGCAGGGACACTTGACTTTTATTACTTGAGGACCGAATGAGAAAATTGAAGCTAACCCCCAACGGGAAAGTCATAAAATTGTGTTTGTGTCACATTGTAATAAGAAGACTCAACATAAACTTAAAAAAAACATGATCAATATAAAATACAGCTGATCATTTCTGAATTACAGATGTATTTCAGGTATTATTAAAAAAGAAATAAACCTCCAGTGCTTTGAGATTATTCAGCTTTTGAATAAAAATTGCATTTAGTGTGTTTAGTGTGTGTTTCATATATTCACACAATATCATAGGGAAGATTTGAGACTGTTCTTTCTTTGCTTCTTAAATGCTTTAGCAGACTAATTCATGTTGATAGGGGAATCTGTTTACACTAAGCACTTTAATAGATGGTGCAAACAGCTTTTGTGTCTGGGAGAAAGCAGAATAAAGCATCCCTAAAGCAGATCAGACAAAAGATGTCTTTTAAATTATCCTTCTCTCACCAGTAAGCACAGACAGAGCATCATTTCTTTATGCTGTTTCCCAGATGAAATCAACCTGTCACAAAAAAGAGAAGCTCCTCATTTTTATTTCATGTTTTCTCATGGAGAGTGTTTTTTTTTTGTCATCAGTTTCCAATTAACACAATTATCCACCAGATGCCTGTATGGTAATAGGATCTAGAGTGTATATAGTTACTCAGAAAAATACATGTATGTGGATGTAAAGTCATCCTAATATATATTGTGTTATCTAAACTTATAAGGACCTCTCATAAAGATGTGCAGCGAGCAAAGTAACCTTAGGCCCTTGGCAAACCTAATAGAAATCACTGCTCTATTTTTTTTTGTCTAGCAATTGTTGCTCTGACTGTCATTTCTGGGTTTGTTTAAGTAGTTATCAGATTTTTTTTATAGTCTCCTAAATGTTTAATGATCCACACAAAGCACAAAGAACATGCTCTTCTTTATTTCCAAAAAAGTTAAAAAAGTTTTTTTTTTTAAACTTTTTAGGCATGACTTTTTTGGATGGCTGAGAATCTTCACCAGCATATCTCCTTTCCCATTTTAAAGAATGGCTAATAGCCATTTCTCTAAGAAATCCTACTTGAGCAATCAAGCTCAATGCAGTAAGAATTGTGAATAAAAATATTTTAATCATAGTTACTTTAAAATAATTTTCAGACCTACTGTGGTAATGTTTTTGACAGAGAGATTGAATTGAATAAGGCCTCCAAACATATGTTTCCACTCATTAAATATGTTGAAGTTATGAGTTTATATTTATTTTACAGGTTTTTTACAGTAGCATGGTGTAAAATACTGGCTGCTCTTAGATAACCATAGTTTTTTTACAACTCACCTGTTACTGTTATCTTAAAGAACATTTTAGTAAAATAAACACAATCTTGTTTGTGGCAGGTTATGTTTCAAACTCCCTAATTATTGGTCTTACTGTAGATAAGATTTAGAGAAAATATATTTTTAGCCAGCTGCCCCTGTCGTAACAAAAACAATAAATAAATGTCTCATTTATTATGTGGCCTATACCATTTGCACCCATCCAGCCATCCATCCATCCATGGACTGATTGCCAGTGCATTACTAGATAAAATGGGTGAATGTGGGTCATTTTAAAGTATTTGCTACAGAAAACAAATATTTCTTCACTTTTATTTTACAGAAAAGAAAAAGGCTTACTGAGATGTGTGCTGCATCACCCATCTTTGCATGGAACTAAACTCTTTATAGGGAACTAAAATATTTGAAGGTGAATGTGTATTTTTGAGCAACACAAAAAGTAATTACATTTACTTTCTGATAAATAGATTTCTCAAAAAAAATAAAAAATTAATACATAGTCATTTTCACTAATAACGTTTAAACTGAGGTATATGGCTGAATGCCATAACTTTCTCCCACAATTCCACATTAAAACTGCTGAATGTGTTGGATTTCTGCATGGAGAGTTGCTCAGATTCACATTACAGACACAGGCAGTCAACATGATCATATTATCAAAAACTTAGGAATAGAAGCCCTGCTGTGAATGTTGAAAACCTGTCAGGATCACACCAGGAATCCCTTTTGGAATTTTCCATGAGATATATAAAATTCTCCTAGTGGAATTTCTTTTGCTCTTTAGAGGAGCTCTGGCTTTGCTTAGTAGAATGAATCAGGGGTGATATATGGAACCAGATCTCATTGTCTAACCACGTAGCCCTGCCTTTGTTCTTTTTCTACACTTTTTCCTCATGCATGTCTTTAATGGTGTAGAACACAGGGCACATCTGTTCAAGAACCATCCTCTTTGTTTTAATATGAACAGAATGAGGAACACCAACTCATGTAAAAGAGAAAAGGTAATTGGTTTCTTTTCTTGCTGTACATAGACATCAGCAGAGTAGGGAGCATTAACCTTAGTGTGCATTAGATTATCTACAATTGCAGCAATTATCTGTTAGTCAAAAACCTTTCACTGTTCCTCTTCGCCTTATTACAGTGTCACTTACTTTAAGCTTAAAAGGCAGTCATAGGGAGGGTAACATTATTGAACATTTTAAAACATAAATAATACATAATAAAAAAGACATGACCACTAATCCTCTTCACTTTTATTCATTACTATCATGACATAAAAAAGATTGTTGCATCTTTCTGCATTGTTATAAAGGACAAGAACTATGGAAGATTATCATCTTACCCTAACCAAAGCAGTTGAACAGTTCATAGGTGGTTGGTCATTGATTTGTTTGGTTTTCATTTAATGGATTTATTCTTGTTGTTATTATCGTTATAAGCCTAAATGCCATCCATACTTACCCATCAAAAAGAACATTTTATTAATTTAGTTAATCCATTTGGATACAATATAACAATGTGATATTTCTAGGTGGTATATAAAAATATATTAAGTAGTGAGGTCGTACTAAGAATATTAGAATATTCTTTATATCATGTTATGTTAACTTATTATAACTTTTCTTTATAATAATATTATATATTAAGCTTAGGATATAAAGCTGCGTGCTTCAAGTTTGAAAGATTGGTTTATCTAGCTTAAAGCTTCTATTTTGAAACAATGAAGGAAGTCGGTATTAAGTCCATAGACATGGATAAATCCCGGAGCATTGGGTGAGAGGCGTGCTGACAGAGCGGCCATCGTGGGTCAGAGAAAATATAAATCAATGGATGCCAACCCTACTTTATGACTTTAGACACTCGGAATCTGGTGAACTCTCAACTGATTTCCAGATAATTTGGCTGACTGAAAATGAGAATGTTTCACAGGTCACATGGAGCCAGCTGATTGATCTGATTTTCTGTATTAGACAGTTAGCAAACTCCCAGAGATAATTCTCAGGATGCCCGACTTTTATTGGTGCACTAATCAAAGGAGACTACAAACCAGATCCAGTGGAATAGCCTTTCACTAATCGGAATTTATGACAGATTATCCTTATACTTCTATTCAGTTACTATTTTTCTGGTGTTTAAACAAGATGATGAGTAGCAGGGATGAAAGCAGGTGCTTTAAATAACATATATGTAACTATGTATTTATAGTTAAATAAATATAACTATAAATATATCTTATATATATATATATATATATATATATATAT